AACTGCTGAGCTAAATCCCCAACCCTTATTTGGGTCAGTTCTTGACCAGAAGCAAAGATTTTTTTTCCCCATACCTGTTGCTTAGGCTTCATATTAGTTAAATAAACATTTAGACCAGGAAAGAAAAAAAAATTGCCTTGTCCCGTGAGCAACTTTCTGAGCAATTCAGATTTCCTCTACCATCTCCTCTCACGCAGCTGCTCAGGACCATCCCCACCCTCCAGCTGCTGGCACCCGGATTGCTTGTCATTTGAGAAGGGTGGGGGGAAACTTTGCAACTCCTGCATCCTTCCCCTTACGGTGGGTTCCACAGGATGACCATGGCCTTCTTATGAAAAAGAGGCGTAAGTGTTGCCTGAATCATTGTTAATTTGAAATATGCACTCCCCAGGAAATCACCTTCTTTAGGGAACATCAGAAGCATATCATGCAAATAGAACAAAAGCTGGAAAGCTCCCTGTGATATCACCGTGATCTTCGTTGGCTAGGTCAGTCCAACAGGAAAGTCACATTTAGCCCCACTGGTAAACCTGGCAGAATAAAAACTCTGAGCTACTACATGGCTGGCAGGCACACCGGTTTATCCCTCTTTCTAGAACAAATTGGAATTTAGGGAGAAATGTGAAAAAAATAGTGACCCAGTTTTATTCAAAAGCTGTATCAGCCAGGCATGGTGGTGCACGCCTATAATCCCAGCACTCAGGAGGCTGAGGCAGGAGGATCGCTGTGAGTTCGAGACCAGCCTGGGCTACATAGTGAGTTCCAGCTCAGTCTCAACAACATAGTGAGACCCTGTCTCAAAAAAAAAAAAAAAAAAAAAAAAAACCAACAAAAAAAAAGCTGTATCAGTTTTGCATATTGCTTTCTTCATCCATTACTAGGGATAGATGGACACTCCTATAATAAAAGACGGATTGACAAGAGAAAAGCATACCACTTCATCAAATATAAGTTTTATATAACACAGGAGGCTTTGGGAAGAAAGACTCAAAGAGGAGCAGTTGTGTATTTACATGGACTTGATGTCGAATTATGACTGGACAAAGTGGGGTACATAAGGCCCGATTGCCCAGAATCTCCCCTGGAAAGCGTTACTTTGCTCTGAGGATAGGAGCGAGCTCTGGGACCCCTCTAGAGAGAGAGTTTTATTACTCACTTCACAGAGGTCAGCTGGAGTTTACTCAGCCTGCTTCAGGGGCAAGGTGGCTGAAGCTGAGAGCTAATTTCCAGCTCTCTCTGTGTCCTCAGTAGTGCCGTGTTTTGGGTAGCATGCCCTGACAACTTTGGGAGCTTTTCGGGTAACTTCTTTATCGGCAATCCTGTTGGTCACTGGGATTCTAGAAAACCGATGCATCTCAGTGAACTGTCTCAATGCAGAAAAAAGCAGGAACACAGACTCCTGACCAGATCTCTTTAATTTAGAGAAAATACCTACCCCTTGATTTAAAGTACACAAATCCTCTGAATTAGAGTCACCCTTGCTTTTTCCTGTGTAAGACAATCTGGGCTTTGTGTTGGATTTATATAAAACGTGATGAATTGGCAGCACATGGCTGAGTTATATGTTCAACAGTCATCATGTATTTTATTCTATGAACAGGAAAGAATGAATTGTTTTAAAGAGATCAGTGTCTGTCTTCATATTTACCATTTTAAAAACCGTTCCACCGGTCTGAAATTTCTTTAAAATCTTAGAACACGGCTGCCAATTCTCCCTTAATACACCGCTCTGACACTAAACACCTGGCTGCCTAAGCAAATGGGTCTGCAGTATTTGTCGTTTGAGACCGGCCTTTTGACAAAGAAACCATCTCTCCTGCCAGCACACAAACTGAGTGTCTTCTCTCGGGTGTGATTTGGCAGGAGTGGAGCCCATGGTTTAAAATCCAGGCTAGCTGAGGATGGCGGCACATGTCTGTAATCCCAGCCCTCTGGGAGGCTGAGGCAAGATGACTATGGGTTCCATTCCAGCCTGGGCAATTTGAGACCCTGTCTCAAAACAAGAGTTGTGGGATTCAGTGTGAAGTGAACCAAACAATCCAATCTCTGTCTTTTTTTTTTTCTTTCTGTTATCAACTACCTCATAGTTATTTGGAGAATCATTAAATGCATCCCAGCTCATTCATTTGAAAATAGAAAGAGAAGCTTTCTTGTGAGGACCCGTGTCAGCAACTAAAGACTGATATTTCCTGAGGCTCAAGCGTTACTCAGGTGAAGGTACCAGAGGAAAGGGCTCGATTGGTTTTGGTCCTCCTAGGGCAGGGATGACGAGGTTCCCCTGAAGCGATTTCCTAAGTGACAGTTTCAGTGTTGCTTCAGAGCTCTCATTTCGGGCAGCAGGGGACAGTGGAAAGGGGGGATTCAGTTCCAGCCCATCTCTGCAGTCTGAGACCAGTCATTTAAGTTTCGCTGTGTGTAAATGGAGGTAATAATAGTTGGTTTTGCATTGCAGAACATTGTAAAGAAACATAAAATAATTTGAGCTCAAGGTAAAAACAATATTCGTGTGAGGAGTTCATATAACTTACTTTTAAAAAGCCTTAAAACCCACAGCAACAAATTCAATGTTTCCTATACATTAAGCATTTAAAGAATCTGATTATAAAACTCACCGATTAAGTGGCTATTTAGAAGAATGGACTCTTTTTCACTGATCCTATCTAAAGATTCTCACATTTAAAAAATCTTTCGGACCATGGATGGTAGTATGAGCACCTGTAGTTCCCAACTGTTCAGGACGCTGAGTCAAGAGGACCTCTTGAGCCAAGCTCAGGACCAGGCTGGACAGCACAGGGAGACCCCCCCACCTCAATAAACAAAACAAAATAAAAACTGCAGGAGTCTCAGCTTAAAGATGGAAGTTGTTGCCTATTAAACTGCTTCTAAATAACTACCTCCTCTTGTAACGTCAGCAAGGTAATACTGAAGGTGCCCAAGAGCTAGGGGGGCCCCATTTGCAGAAATTTTCTTGGATTCCTAAAATAGCACACTTCCATCACCTGCCATTTTTCTATAGCTGTAAAGGACCAGGGATGTTTTCCCATTCTGGATTGTCTCAGCTTCTATATATTCAGTTTTAATATCGTCTAACATTCCAAACATAGATATCCCTAAGTTACTTTCTTTAAAGACAGCAAATTTTATTTTTTTTAAGTATCAGCTGACTGATAATTTTCTGCCTGATGACAGCCTTCATAGAAAAGCTTCTGTTTTCTTGGAGGTGAGTGAGAGGGTTAAGCACTCTGTCTCATCTTCCCCGCCCTGCTCTGCCCAAACTGGGGCCTTTGCCTGTGGTGGGCTGAGGAGCCAAGTGTGGGGTTGAGGTAAGGGTGGCTTAGACTGGGTGGCTGGTGAAAAGCCAGGCCCCAGAGTCGAGTTCTATAGCCTCTCCTAATTTACAAAGATTTCTTTCCCTTATTCTAAGTCGGGACTCGCCGGCATTCTTCTCCACCCTAGAGGTTGCAAAGTGAGGTAGGTGTTGGCTCACCTTTTGCCAGGCCCTATGGTGCAGTCTGGCCCCTCCCTGGAAGGCAGCAGGCTCACCTCTACCTCCCAGGCCCCGATGAGTCAGCAGTTCCCCACCCCCCTGCCCCAGGGGGGGCCCCTCAGGCCTGGAAATTGTTCACTTGCTGGATTGTTTGGCTCCAGGAGTTAAGGACACATGGACAAACAGTTTGGGATGGATTCAGACATTTTTTAGCTCTCTGGCAACAATTATCATTCTCCCTTTCCTCCACATATCTTGTAAATGTGTTGACTCTTGAAACTTTGACTTCTGAACAATTCATTGAAAACGGGTGTTGGTATGTTCTAATTGTGCTGGCAAAGTGCTCTCTGTGTTGTTTTATTCTTGGTATCTTTCATGAATTGCTGAAGTCTTAGAAAAGAGTTAAATTTTTTCCCATTCAGATTTCTGAAAGTATGCTATGTAACAAAATTTTTTGGGGTTAAAATCAGAGAACTAGAAATTACCTAGATTGCGGACAGCTTTGATTGTTGCTTTTTTTTTTTTGACACGTCAGTAAGAGATTTTAAAAAGAAGAGGAGCAGAGAGAAGGATTAAAAGGTACACATACGTCTTCTATTCCCCACCCTCAAAGAGCAGTATTTTAAGATGAAGAGTTGAGCACAAAGTGTACCTCCTGTTCATTGTCTGCAGGAGAGCTTGCTGGCTGTTCTGCCACCAAACAGTCGAGCCAGGTGACAAAAGTAGTTCTTTGTAGGACAGAGGCCTTGTGCTGCATAGCCAAACACCTTCTCTCAGACTGGCCTTCAGTTAGTTAATCCCTGTTTTGTTTGCACTGACCCCCCTCATTGTTGGTACAGGCTGTCTTATCTAATAGTGTTCCGTCACCATTATATTTACTGGCTACACGCGCTAATTATAAAAAGCCTCCTCCAAGTTTCTGCTCTGGGAACAGAACTCTTCTCTAGTTTGAAAAACCAAGCTTTGTAGAACAGACCAACTGAGCTCTAATGAGTGATGCTCAACTTTTTCAGCATAGTGGCAACCGGTTTTGGAATTCTGTGAATCCCTCTCTCTCCGACCTTGGTGTTTTGCGGGGGAGTTTTTGTTTTGTCTTTCATTTTTTCTAGTGCTGGGCATCAGTCCCAGTTGATGCTCACTCATGCTAGGTAAGCACTCCGCCATGGAGGGACACCCTCAATCCCTCTTTCCTTTCTTTCATTAAATTTTACTTTTGTTTTGAAGAACTCACAGAGAATGTTTGCGTAACCTTCAATTATTTGCTACTTCCCAAAGAAGTATTTAACCTGCATTAAAACCACTAATATAAATGTAGTACTTACTATTGGCATTCATTACATCAGTTTAAAAATTTAATATACAGTTGTTAGATGGTGGTTAAGTATTGGTTGGCTCACTTACCTTCTGAATTATTTTAATATGTTCTTGATCATAGGAAACCTCCACCGGACCAGCAGTGTTCCAGAATATGTCTACAACCTACACTTGGTTGAAAATGACTTTGTTGGAGGGCATTCCCCAGCTGCTAAGACCTATGACGTGCTGAAGGTAGGACAGGAAAGAGCAAAGCCCTCAATAGCTGACTGCCAGGAAAAGGTTTTCAAACCTCTTTCTTTTAAAAAAATATTTAGCTTTCTGGAGTATGATCATTTTCTGAATGAATTTTGAGAAAATTGGTTTTATGTGGACACAAAGGAAAATTTTAAGCAGTGTGAAACACTAGTGCAAATAAATGATCTGGATCAGCCAAGCCTCTTGTGAAAAGAGACTTTACCAGAAGGGGCAGCTTCTCCATCTGATTCAGAGGAACGGACGTCTTGTGCCTTGTGTCTTCAACAAAAGAGAGAACAGGTCTAGGCCTTATGTGAATTTCATTTTCTCCTGCAGGCTGGTACTACGGCCACACACGGTGGCCACTGGGGCCGAGGGACGCTGCAGTACAGTTCCCAGAAGTCCGTGGAGGACAGGCCCTGGAGGCAGCCACTGCGGAGACTGGAGATCTCCCCAGACAGCAGCCCCGAGCGGGTCCACTACACACACAGCGAGCACCACTACAGCCAGCGGAGCCAGCCGGGCCACACCCTGCGCCACCAGGACAGCCGGCGCTCCACACTCCTTGTGCCCCCGAGATACGCCCGCTCGGAGATCCTGGGCTTCACCCAGACCGGGGCCGTGAGCAGGCAGCGCCACTATGGCACCTACCACAGACACCACCAGTACGGGTCTGTGAGCGACACCGTCTTTGACAATGTCCCTGTCACCCCTGCGGTGCTCGCCTACCCCAGGCCGGGGACCAGTCACAGCATGGGCAACCTGCTGGAGAAGGAGAATTATCTGAACACAGGCCCCGCTGCGGGGCAGGTCAGGCCACTGGTGGCCCTCCAGCCTGTTACTCAGAGCAGGGCTGCCAGATCCTCATGGCATCAGAGCTCCTTCCACAGCACCCGCACGCTAAGGGAACCCGGGCCGAGCGTCACTGTGGACTCAGGGGGCCGGAGGACACACATGACTGTGGGCCAGGTGGCAGCAGCGGGCAGCGGAAATCTGCTCCTGGAGAGGAGCACTGTCGCCGATCAGCAACTTGGGTGAGTCTCCTCTCAAATGTGCTGCCCAGGCAGTGCCGGCCACTCAGTCCCCACAGCCCGACAGCCTGGGCCAAGCCTCTGTGGGGGCAGAGAAAGGCTTCCAGGGATGGTAATTAGAACACCAAGTTCGCAGGCAGCTGCCTAACTGACAGATCAGCCTACTTACCTCAGGGACAGGCCCAAGCTGCCTGTGCATGTGGCAGCCCCATGGGGAGATGTAGCAGGAGCCCATCTGCTCCAGATTAGGTTCTGGGTGAAGGAATCGTGGCCCTCAGCTCTGTGAAAATCTGCTCAGGACAAGAGTAAATGCCAGAGTAGAGCAAGACACAGCAGTGTCTTCGTCTGGAAAGGAAGCCAGGAAACTGCAAAGATGCTAATTCCTGGTGCCGGCATGAACCTCAGAGGCATTTGGACAACGATTACCGCAGAGCAGTGGTGACAAACCTGTGGCACTCGTGCTGCAGCGGGCTGTTTGTATCACTCCAAGCTCTGTGCAGGTCGCTGTCACTGCTGTGGAGACAGAGAGCTGAGGAAAGGCAGCTATTTCCACAAGTCTCTTTCCTTTGACACTTTATACCTCTGCCTTTGATTCCAGCATTAGTGATTTGGAGATTTTGTTTTGTTTTTGGCACAAAGGATCGAACTCAGGACCTTGTATTTGCAAGGCAGATGTGGTGCCACTGAGCTAAATCCCCAGCCCTGGAGAGTATATTTTAGCAAAATTCAACAATCAAAATACTGGAATTCTGATGACATCCTTTGCCTTTCCTATTTCCTTTATGTCTTAGCTAATTTAATTTTGAGGACTTGGCCTAATTCAAGTTTAATGCTCAAGTGCAAATCTGACGAACGGAGAAAGTTACTAAGAGAAAAGTCTAGAGACGGATTAATGATTAAATCAGTAACTACTGAAATAATGACCTAGAATATTAGGGCAAAACATCAAACATATGATTGTAATTGTGGTATTACATATTTTTTTTCAGCTTTAATTGAGTTTATTGGTACATCTTAGGTATACAGTACAGTTACATTCATTGTTGGGATCTTGTACCTCTACATGACAGGTCTTGGTTCTCATTTTTTCCCCTTGTCCCTGCCCTCTCTTCACCCCTCCTCCCCTCCCCATCTACAGACACTTTATTTCCATCTTTTCATTATCTCACATTTTTTTCTTTTCCCTTATTACCCTTCCCCTACCCGTTCCGCCTTCCCTACACCTTTAGCTCCTTTCTTCCCATTTCTCAGTGTCAGTCATCTTATTAGGATCTTCTGTATTATTGCAGATTATTCACACCAGAGAAACTATTCGGCATTTACACATGTGTGCCTTATTTATTTCACTTAGGAGTATATCTTCAATATGTATCCATTTTCCTATGAATGAATCTATTTTCTCTTTGGTATTAACATAATTTAACAGTACTTGTTACTTAGTCCTTCAAGTGAAAACTTAGTACACTCGTTGACAAAGGTAGGTTCTGGTGATAAACTGCTTTCAAAAGGGAGCTGGGGAGCATCTCCTCTTGAAGCAGGTAATATTTTTCATAAGACAAAATTTAGTGTGAAGTTTCTCACATTTTTTTTCTTTTTCTTTTCCTTTGAGGGGAGGTGGTGGGGTTGAAGCCAGGGCCTTCAAACGAAGCTACACTGGCCCCCTGCTATTTTTACTTTTTGAGACAGGGTCTCACCAAGTTGTGTACCCTGGGCTTGATTCTCCTGCCCGAGTGCTGGGATTTCAGGTGTGTGCCACCATCCCCACCTAACCTGTGCCATAGAGATGAGATCAGAATTTTGTCAGTACGAGCATATTTACAAAGAAGAAACCTGTACCAAATAATTACTTACAGAAGAAAAGCTAATAAAGGCTTAAAAGGATAATTTAAAATTTATGGAATGCCTACTAGAGTTTAGGCATAGTTTTAGCGAAGTAATTTCCACAGTAGTCAAACTCTGATCTCACGTCCTCCAACAAGTGACCTACTTCTCTCCTCCAGCTCCCTTGGCTCATCCACATCTCCTGAGTGCTCCGTGGTATGGCTCCAGTCCCTGCTTCACAGGGACACCACTGACAGGTGCAGCCACGACTCCTTCCAGCCACACCCTCAGCAGGGGCACCTCCCGCCTTCATGGCAGCCTCTTATTGGACATACCAAGCCCTCTCTACCTATTATGACTGGACGCATCCTCTCCTGGTTTCCACTTCCTCCCTCCCTCATTCTTCAGTCTTCCCAGGGGCACCCTCTTCTTCAGGCCAGAGAAGGCAGCCGCAGTCTCCCTTCTCTTCTGAGGCTTGGTGTTCTCCAGGGAGCCCCAATACCTCACAGGTATCCTCTTCGTTCCTAGGGTTTGGTCTTCGGCCCTGTCTTCCACCTCAGCTCTGGACTGTGTGTGTATTCAGCAATGTCTTGGACACCTCACTCAGCATATCCTAAATTAAATCCATCCGCCGTTCCGGTCCTTCTCCTCTATCTGCCCCTTACAAGCTTGGGTGGGAGTCAGTCTTGCTTCACCCTCAAGTCACTGAGCTGTATTCTCCCTCCTTACTGGGCCTCAGTTCCTACTTTCTCTCCTCTGCATTGCATAGGTCTCTCTGCCCTGGCCTTGCGCGGCGCTGTTCTCCAGGGCTGGCAGAAGGAGCTCACCAGGTCGGATTGATCCTTTCCCCGCTTTGTAACCTTTCCACCATCCCACTAGGAGTTCCTGCTTGCCCGATGGCATCCAAGGTCCGTCACCTCTGTCTCCACCTCCACTTCCCACTCCAGGCTCTGTTCTCTACTCTGCTCCACTCCTCATCGCTTGACCCCCAGGCACACCTGACCCAACTACTCAGACTCCTTGCAGCCTCCTGCACTTCCCTTAATGCAAAACACAAACACTGATCTCTCCGCCTCTCCTGTGCACCCCTCACGTCCCTTTCCCTCACTGCTGTCCTTCCCCAACTCCAGCCCCTTCCAGATGTCCTCTGCCTTGGTGTGGCTCTGCATAATTCTGTGGTTAGCTCAAGCACCACCATTTCCCCGACCATAGCCTACTGTGTGGACCTCTCTATCCGAATATTTATTGTGGTTACTCATTTACTTATCTTTTATCCCTAGACCTTGAGCTTCTTGCCAATATTTTATTTATCTTTACATTCTCAGCATCATAAAACAGAGGCAGGTCCGTGATAGGCTCTGTAAATGTATGCTGAAAGAATGAAGGAATTAAAGGAGGGAAAGATGAAATATAAATTCTTTCCTTGTCACCATCTGGCTTTTTTTAAATTCTCATGTTCTAGAAGTGATAACCGTACCACTTCGGGTTATTGTTTCAATGGGAAAAGTAAATTTTATTAGAATATTTAACCATATTGCAATAGAAGGAACATTTGGGGTTAAGACATTTTAAACAGTAAACAATCTTCCTGAGAGTCCCCAAGTTCCAGAGACTAGAAATGACAGAAATTAATACTTTTTTATGATTTCCAAAGAGTTGTTCTTTTTTGTTTCTGTTTTTCATTCTTTTTTTTTTTTTTTTTTT